CGGCCCTCCTTCCCTGCTGCTCTGCCCATGGCAGAGCTGCCCCCTCCCTAGGCAAGCCCTCGCCTCGGTGTGGGTGCCTGGGGCTGGACATGCTGCTGCTGGTGCTGGGTGCCTGATGGGGCCATGCGGGATGAGGAGCTGCTGCGTGGGGCCACCACGGTTGCCTGGGGACAGGCCATGTGGGGACCTGTGCTGCACCCTGGTGCTGGCCTGGCCAGGCAAGATGGCACAGGCACTTTAGGGCCAGCATGTTTTCCCTGGCCACTCATCCTGCACCAAAGCCTCATTTTTCTGTCCTCAGCCCCAGTACACCATGGCCCTGGATCCTGCTGCCTCCAGGCCTGGGCTCTGGCCGTTGGGTTTTGGGGCTGGGTCTGATGCCCACAGCTCCCAGCAGTGCTTGCCTGGGAGCAGAGCTGCTTCCAGCCTCACTTCTCCACATAGGCACCCATTGGCTGGGGGTTGGAGGCAGCTGAGCATCTGTCCCGCTCCCAGGAGCAGCCCTTGTTGCATCCATCCCCCTGCAAGGTAGGAGCAGCAGCCTTCCTCCTCTGTCCTACGAGCTCCTGAGCATGGCAGTGCCTCACTGCCCCTTCCATTTCTTCGTGCACCTTTTGGCATCCACCTGCCCCTGCCATCTCCTCCTGGCACAGTGTCCTGCCTGTTCATCCCCTGGGCCACCCAGTGAGGCACCCACACTCGGTGGGACCACCTGGATGCCGTCTGCCATGCCCGCCACAGGGATGCAGCCACTGTGGGGTGGCCTGAGCCTGCTGGCAGCTCGCAGGGGCCCTGCATTGCTACTGTCCGTTTTCCTCGGGCTGGGGGCAGGGCTCTGCCCTCACATTCCTCCCGAGACTCCAGGGCTCCAGTTGGCCCATGCACATGCCAAAGCACTACAGAGGAGCCCACAGCAGGGTAGGCACCTGGGGCCAAGCTCACCGCCACACGCTGGGATAAGGGCTGGACGTGAGTCCAGATGCTGGTAGCAGAAAAAGGGCACTTGATGGCAGCAGGTACTCCAGCTGCAGGTAGCAGGGGCAAGGGCAGGGCTGCTCCAACCCCATGCTCCTCCACCCTGGCTGGGCGCTGTAGCACAGGCACTGGCCCTGTGTATGGTGCCCATGGGTACGGCGTGAAAGGCAGCCGGCTGCAAAGAACACACAGCACTGCGTTCCCCACGCACAGCCGTGCCCAGCAGCAACTCAGACATGTCTTTCCCTGCTACTGTTATCCAAGGTCCCACAATTACAGCCCCTGGTTGCATTCAGTCGCCCTTGGGAAGCGTGTCCAGCCCAGGCTCCCTGCCCTGCCCAGCCCAAGCCCCCAGCGGGTGCAGCCATGGGAACATCCAAGACCGGAGCTCCCTTCTTTCACTCCTGCAACAACTGATGTGAGCTACAGCACTGCAGCCTGTGTGGGAAAAAGGGCTTGGGGCACTGGGACCCCAGCAAGCACGGGTAGACCAGTTCCGGAGGCCCCCTCCAGGGCAGGAGGTAGGCATGGGCAGGGTCCTGGTTCTGTGGGGATGTGTCTGGCTACAAGAAGGGGAGCTAGAGGCAACGCACGAGTGCCCGCAGCTCCTGGTCCTGTGCAGCTCCCTGCCATCAGTCTGCGCTCTGCTCTGCTAAGCCAGGAAGAGTGCTGAGCCCTCCTCTGGGAAGCAATAACACTGCTGGCAGGGCTGCTCCTGGGCAGGAAGGCAAAAAAGCTCCTCTCAGGCTCTCGCCCTGCAGCGATGCCTACTGCTAGCACAAGGTGACTTTTTCTTCCAAGCAGCAGCTTTTGTGGCACAAGCTCACATGACATCAGGGCTGTGGCCCACCCCTGTCAAGGCACGAGGCCAAGAACAGCACTGGGGCCATTCTGACACCTGCTCCTTCCTTGTTGGTACCACCACCGCAGCAGCTCCCCAGCAGCAGGAGCCGGACAGGGCCACCATTGGCAGTTCTGCCACTGGCACTTTGCTGGGATCCTGCAGGCAGTGGTGGTGCCAGGCTCCGACGAAGAGGAGCAGCCTGCCATCGCCACCGCACAGGCAGGCTCACGCTGTCCTCACTGTGAGGGGAGGGTGTTTTGGTGCAATAATTACCCCTGCACTACGGGAAGCCCCGTTCAGTTCCTTGTTACCTACCCGTCGTTGCATGTACAGACCAAATCACCAACAGCGTAGTTGTACTTCGGGGAGACATTTCACTTTTTCTTTCCAGCCCCCAACCTCAGACCGCTTTGTCCTTTGGGTTACACCACCTCCGTTCCAGGTGCCACCTGCCCTCCCAGCGCCAGGAGCGTGTCGATGCAGTATTCCACAAACAGTGTGGGGCACGCACAGCTTGCACTCGAACTGGGGATTGGGTTTTTTTGTAATTTATGTACTTGAAGGCTTTCCGAGCCCCCCGTGGAGTTGTACTGTTGCTGTACTGTGAGCTAAGTGTCCTTGTTTTCTATGTGGATCTTGACCCTGGCTTGCTCTGTCTCACTGGGCTGGATGACACTGTATGTTGCCTCTTTTCTCCTTCACCCTTTCCCTCCCTGCTAGCCTCCCTTTTTTCTCCCAAAGCTTTGGGTGCAAAACAGCTTCCCATTTTGTGGAATTTTTATGTAGAATAAACATTTGTAACTGTAAAGCTCTGGCTGGTACCTCTGTTTCAGGGGAAGGGAGGAGGTGATGAAGCTCAAGGGCTGGCGTGCTGACAACCCCAGCACCCTGGGAGCACCAAAGCTTACAGGGTGGGCCTCATGCAAAGTGCTCACAGGAGCCATCACCACAGGAATAACACTTCTGCCATGAGGAAGATTTGCCCTCATAGGACACACACCTTTACACTGCCTGATTCCCTGCCTGCGGGCAGAGGGAAGCTGGCAGGGAACTAGGTGCTATACTCCACCTCAGTACTCGCCTGCACTGAGGGCAGCACACAGGAGACCAGCAACATTTCTGACACACTGACTGTTTAGTGAGGAGGCTGGATATAATGTTCTGGCTCACCTGGAGCTCCAGATGGCTCACTGCACTCTCAGGAAGATAAGCTATGGCTTATGACAGTGCAGACACCAAGTGGCCAGAGCACTGTCTCCCACTCTACCTTCACCAGGGAAACACGGCTGGAAGCTTTGCAGTTGGGTGTTGGGCAGCACCTGAGCCAGTTTACACATTCGAGAGCAACAATGACCCATCCCAAAATGTCCTAGGCCTGGGGTGCCCATCTGTGCCATCCACGGGAGGCTCACTGGAAGGACCAACACACCATCTTCCACGCCAGCAGTGTCCAGAGCAATTCAGAAGCGAGGGCGGCGCTTTCGACCCGTGTATTTTGTGTCTGCTCGCACTTCCCTGTGGAGAAAAGCAGAGAGCAACTAAGCACAATCCACAGGTCATTCTGGGAGGGGAAGGGAAGTGGTTTCATGGCAGGAGTTTGAACAGGTGACAGCAGGCCACTCCAGCACAGTCAGCCTGAGCTGAGGCAGGACCCAGATGAACTTACTTGCCCTGTCGTCGTCTACGCTCCTTCTTCTCAAGGATCCAGTCCCGGCTTTTTTTCACAGACTTGCCCTTGGCGTTTCTGAACCTTGTCCTACAGAGAAAGCAGGCAGCAGCTGGCAAGGAACTGAGGTGGGGGGCACAGCTTTCTGCCCTGGAGGACTGCCACCCAGAACTGGGCATGCCCTCTGCCTCATAAAACCAGCAAGTACCCCTTGCACCAGCCCCACGATGAGAGAGGCTCAGCCAGCCCTGGCTCTCAGCCTAGGGATACCCACCCTCACAGGCTGCAGCAGGCCAGCACTTGTGCCATGTCTAACACACCAGCAGCACGCTAGGCTCTGGGATCTCGGGAATATGGGCTCAAGCACAACCACCTTCCCATTGTCTGCTCTACTCCAAACGAAGCAGACAAAGCCTCTGGCTTCCCAACAAGTTGCCAGTTATGCTACTGCCCTCTAAGATCAGGTACCCCCCTTGCGCAGAGAACAGCAGTGTAAGAGGCAGGAAAACATGGCAGCCACAAGCTCCTGGCAGCCACGACGACTTTCCTCTGGTTTTTGTTCTCTGTCTCTCCCACTGGCTGCAAGAGGGGCTCCTCCCTGCACCACTACCATGGGAGGAGACCTGGCCAGCAGGAGAAATCCCCAGGCCACAGCTAAGCAGAGTTAAGCAAAGAATTTGACACCAGAAGAAAGAGAACATCAGGCTTCATGCACGGCAGCCTGTCTCCCCAACAAAAAAGCAGCCATGCTTGGCATCACCAGCACTACAAACATTCCACCTCCCATCACCACTGGCCTACGCTACCGCGCTTGAGCCAAGTGCTGGACAGAAAGCGCCCCTCAAACTGAACGCTCAGCGGCAGCTCTAGGGTAAGCATTAACAACAGCCCCACGACACCACAGCAAAGCCCCCCAAACTAACTCGCTCCATTCCTTGTGTCTAGGGCCCTTCAGTAAGGCAAAGCAGTGCCCATCTGGCCTGCCAAGGGTTCACCCACTGCCCCCAGTCCCTTCCCTTCAGTCACTTCTCACATGGCAGCGCTG